AATTGATTTGATTCCAGGAGCACAAGAAGACACGGTTTGGCCTTGCTTGGTCTGGCACGGGGTCTAGAACAGCAGGTTCTCGCTACGGCAACACGATAACAGCACATTGGGAGCTTGGGCCCATCTGAATCCTGGCAAAGACCTGGCTTCTACAATAAGAGCTTGGGCACAAGGCTTAAACACAGGATACGGCCGGTTTTTGGCGTTTCCGGTCCGCTTGCTTTTTCGGCACCTTCCGTTGAACATCGGCGCGCCAGCTCAAAGCCCATCTAGAAGTCATCTCGTCAGTCCGTGTTTTGAGCAAACTCTTCGGTGGTTGATGTCGCTAGAATGTACTTGGAGTGATCATACCAAATAGCCTTAAGAATAGAACACACCATACCACGTATGCATACGTGGGCATGACAAGTTTCATTTTACCATGGAATATATAGGCAAAGCTGCGGGACGGGCGTGTGGCCTAAAAAAATGAACTTACCACACCATACCACGTACGCACACGTGGGCATGACAAGTTCCATCATACCATGGAAAATCACTATTTCAACACCGCGGGACGGTGTGGTACGGGACAGGGCTGGGGGCACACCTAGCGTACCTGCCAAGATGACCCCTTGTGGTGGTAGTCCTCGAGGTTCAGCAGGAAGTCTCCGGAGAGGAAGAAGCAGAACGTCCACGCGATGTCCTGGGTCGTCTTGACGGAGGAGGTCATCACGTCCGTCACGTACGTCGCGAAGAAGTCAACCTGCGTTTCTCGGCGGCGGGGAGAACAAAAAGAGAGAGAGAATAAAAAAAAAGAGAACCAAGAACGTAACGAGAGAGCAAAAAAAAAAGAGAAAAGACAGAAGACGAGAACCAGTTGGAAGAAGCGAGTTGAAAAAAAATCTGATTTCCTTAGTTCGATCTTACACTTTGTCATGCTCATGAGTCTGATTATTGTTATTGTCACGAGTCGCGGAGCCCCACGACGTCATCACGCCCCCCGGACTTAACCTACTCCAAAACGTAAACATTCCCCGGACTCCTCATACACACCCCACACACATGAGTTAAGATAACAGAGAAAGAAGAGGAGAAAAAAAAACAATACGATCAAAATAAGGTATCATTTGGTTGTAGCTGGAGGGAATACGTGTTGTACCGGGGGGTGAGCCTCGAATATGTAAGGGATTAGACAGGCGTTTCCGTCTTTTGACGGCACCATTTCACTTTTTTCCTGTCTTTCGCGTACAGCACAACATTAACATTGTCGCAAGAGGAGGGGACGAAGTCAGCGCAGCGCGCGTGTCTTTCACATGTTGAAGAGCGTGGACGGCTGTGTTGGGGGCAGGTGGCCACGGGGAGGGAGATGAAAGCAGGGCGGGGATGTAGAGAGGCATGGAGAGATAAAAAGAGACTTGGACTTGCATGGCATGGCGCACAACCAACCTCCCTCTTCCTCTCCCTCTCACCTTGCAGAGCGGGGCCACCAAGCTCTTGAAGATCACACGCCAGAACTCCTTGGACTTATGCACCGGGAAAATAACCTGTCAAAAAAAAAAAAACGGCACGAAAACACGATTTACGTATAACAGGTAAACACTGGCAGGGAGGGAAGAAACGACTGAAGTAAAAAACATATATAGGGTAAATTGTGCGTACCACAAAAGACGTTCTTGGAATGCATACCACATGGCAATAATAGAGTTTCAACCCGCAACCCCCCCCCCCCCCCCCTCTTTGGAAAACCCCCATGTCTTGGGAGGAAGGGTTGGAATCAAATCACACCAACGAATACAGGCCCCCGGCTACCTTATCGACCACCACTTCCAGCTGGGGCACTTTTCGTCGGAACCCAACAACAACACCACCAGCCACCGGCCTTGTACATTTTAACTATTCCTCCGCGTTTGTTTTTCTTCCTTCCTTCTCTCACCTGGGAAAACACGTAAAAACAAAAGAAAAACGGCAGGGAACCCGCCGGGAGGATCGGCGGGAACCCATTCATCAGGATCTGTACTCCCGCCCGGCCCCAGAGCCCCAAAAAAAAAAATACCAAACGAAACACGAACACCCACCGACCAAAAACAAAAACACCCCAGCCACGAGAGGTGCCCCCCACATA